TACTCCACATTCTCTTCAATAAGATTTGGGATGAGGAACAAGTACCAAAAGACTGGAAAGAAGGACTTCTGATCAGAATCCTGAAGAAAGGCGATCTCAGCAACTGTGATAACTCTTCTCTCAATACCGGGAAAAGTCTTCAACAGGGTATTGTTAAACAGGATGAAGGACTGCGTAGACGTCCAACTTCGTGACCAACAGGGAGGATTCCGTAAGGATAGATCGTGTACAGACCAAATCGCAACTCTACCAATCATTGTGAAACAATCAATTGAATGGAATTCATCACTCTACATCAACTTCATTGACTACGAAAAAGAATTTGACAGCGTGGACAGAACAACACTATGGAAGCTTCTTCGATACTACGGCGTGCCTCAGAAGATAGTCAATATCATACAGAATTCCTATGATAGATTAAACTGCAAAATCGTGTATGAAGGACAGTTGACTAACTCGTTCGAAGTAAAGACTGGTGTCAGGCAAGGTTGCCTACTCTCACCCTTTCTCTTTCTCCTGGTGATCGACTGGATCATGAAGACGTCAACGTCTGAAGGGAAGCGCGGGATACAATGGACATCTAAGATGCAGTTGGATGATCTAGACTTCGCAGATGATCTGACTCTTCTATCGCAAGTGCAACAACAAATGCAGGAGAAGACGACCAGTGTAGCAGCAGTCTCAACAGCAGTAGGTCTCAACATACACAAAGAAAAAAGCAAGATTCTCCGATACAACACAGCATGCACCAATCCAATCACAATTGACGGAGAGGACATAGGAGATGTAAAAACCTTTTCATATCTGGGAAGCATCATTGATGAACACGGTGGGTTTGATGCAGATTTGAAGGCGCGGATCGGCAAAGTAAGAGCAGCATATCTACAACTGAAGAACATCTGGAACTCAAAGCAACTATCAACCAACACCAAGGTCAGGATTTTCAATACAAATGTCAAGACAGTTCTACTGTATGGGGCGGAAACCTGGAGAACCACGAAAGCCACCATCCAGAAGATACAGGTGTTTATTACCAGTTGTCTACGCAAAATACTTCGGATCCGTTGGCCAGACACTATTAGCAACAACCAACTATGGGAAAAAACAAACCAGATCCCAGCGGAGAAAGAAATTAGAAAGAAACGCTGGGAGTGGATAGGACACGCATTGAGGAAAGCACCCAAATGCGTCACAAGGCAAGCCCTCACATGGAATCCTGAAGGTCAAAGGAGGAGAGGAAGACCAATGAACACATTACGCCGGGAAATGGGGATAGACATAAGAAAATGAACAAAAATTGGATCGAATTAGAAAAGAAGGCCCAGGACGGAGTGGGTTGGAGTGTGCTGGTCTGCGGCCTATGCTCCATTGGGAGTAACAGGCGTAAGTATGTAGGTAAGATAATATGTTACATTTCTAAGTTTAGGTGATTCATGATCTGCGATCCTCATATCATATGTAATACAGTTGAACTTAACTGACCATGTTTTCCCACTTTAACTCCAAGAATATGCGCTGAAGTTTTTTTGTTTGTTTTCTGGATGGTTCGTCGGTTTGCACTAGTGAATAATCTTATAAAGTTATGAAACGTCCGACTAATATTTCTTCGTTTTTAATGACTTTCTAGCTGATTCCAGTTCGCAAAGTAAACTACAAACTGAAAGGCTGTAACAAACCTAATGTTATTTTTAGGAAGCCTCTCGAAAAAATATATTACTAACCAATATAACTATATTATGTTTGGTGTTAAATCGCTTAACTTAAACGGAGAAAATTAGGATACACTAGGGCCATTTCTGTAAATTTTATCTGTTTGGTATGATAGTGGGAACCTTGTTGATATATTAGCCACCAGGTACTTGATAACATGATGTTCAAGCGTGTCGACAGAGTCATAAGTACGTATCAGGTTTAGTTACTTAAATAATTTATTTTTTCAGTTTGAGAGACGTTGTAAACCGGACGGTTCTGTAACCTATGTTAATACTTAGATTGCTGAAATCGTACAAGTGTCTATTAGTGGATTTGGGAAGCCTGAAATAAATTCCAAGTTAGACAGATCAGGAGTCTTTTTAAGTTTAGGTCTACAGGTTTAGACATCTGGTAGCACAGTATTGTAAGATAATTTTTTAAGGAAATTAATTAGATTTTGGAGGCTGATGTGCAACTACTCTAGACGTTTTGGGAGCACTGGTCATGCCAATTTACAAAAAGAATGAAATCCTGTTGTGCTAACCATAGAGAGAAAGTGTAGACTAGAATAGTGCCCAGGATCTTATATTTTGGACGCAAATACTGTCTGAGAGTAGTAACCCTGAAAAAATTAGGAAAATTTAGGGCCTATATATGGATTTTCAAATTCAATACTCACCCTACTATAGGCTAAAGGAAACCAGAATCTTTGACCTAAATATAGTGTCTCTGACTGAAATATACACTAAAAAATTAGCGGTATTGAAGACTATGTTCGAGCACTATTCGTCTGGCCATAGATTTCCTGAAATTGTTCTCTAAAATTGGCCACGCCAAGTATTGACTGTTAGCGTCCCTCAGTTTCTCGATATTTATGTTCTGTGTTTTCAAAGGAAGGATTCTAAGCATGGTTTGTTTCATGTCTGATCTGGTTCCTATAACCTTGACTTAGAAAACTTTAATGATATGCCTCTACTTTGTAAAACGGCTGACAATATCCAGATCCTGAAATACTTGAATAATGGTACAATTATGTTCCGAGTGTGCGATCGGGTACTTGGATCTATCCTTTATCTTACTTAAAATATCGAGGATAATGACATCAAATATCACCATGGTAATTGTACATTAGTTAAATCTAGATTCTTTCTTCAGCTCAGAGACAGAAACACTAAAATTTAAATGACGTGTGTCAGAAAACGGTCAACGCTTAAATTAGTCCGTCAAAATAAAAATGGAGAACAGTAATTGACTGAGTTTTTGTCTGAAGTATGCAACAAATAATCTAATCTCTTTGTTCGAAATACGTGAATGACACAGTAAATTTGTTCATTATCCCTCAAAAAATCTCAACAAATAGTTACTAGGCAAATCTGTCTTGTGTTTATTTTTTGATTCATATTCACCGCTTCACCTTATTCTTCTTGTATTAGTTGATAATATTATTTGGATTACTTCTGTTGCATAATATTCTGTCTCTAAGATCACTTTCAAAGGAAACTTATTATACTGCTGAACTTCAGAAGAACGATTAAAGTTATCATAACAAATATGAAAATAAGGAGTTGCCAACAAAACATTGCATTTGTTGTTAGTTAATAGCGGTAGACAGAACTTTTTTATATCCTGTATTGGTTTGTACCTGAAGTGGGTGATGAAGTAAACCTATAGTTATTATTAATACACACAATCAACGAGATTATAGAAAGCTTACTAAACTTTCCGTAACGTGAGCCCAATTAATGTTAGTGATATTATTTTAGAACGTTCAAAAGGTAATTAAAAATAACTCAATGAAACAATCCATGTTGTTCTAAAGCTAAAAGATATGTGTACTGAAAAACGGCTATAAAAGATCTAAACTTTAAACACGTACTGCTTAAAGTAACTTAATCAGTATCTAACATGTACTAGTTACTACTTGAAATAGTTTGTAAAATAACTAATTTTCTCCTGGTGATAATATATTGTTTGTTTCTGAATTCACTAACCGATTACTTTCTCAATTTTGGGGATTGTTATTTTTTTAGATATATTACTCTACAAGTGAGATAGGTACGAATGGTTAGCCCTGGTGATACAGTTCAAATTGACTTCAATACCACAAATTACAGCCATTATTTTCCCTGTCGAAAAGTGGGTTTTTTGATTTACGTATGTAATGTTCGTCCTAATATGAAAGGCCATTATAAAATTGCATAAAATAAAAAACGAATAAATGCATGAAATGAAGCATGTCAACTTATTACTTAGATGTAGTCAAAGTGGCAATCGTATTTCATGTATATTGAAGTACAGTTCTGTGTTAATATGCATAAGACTTTTGACACCAAGGGACGACTTTAAGATTCAGGCTAGTTGAAAAACTAATTAGATAGGCTCGGGTTGCTGACATGGATTACAAATAATAGAAAATATTTACAAAGTCATCATAAGACTGATAACTAATTAAAAAGGGTTAGGTTGAAAGATGGAAATAATTAAGTAGAAAAAAATGCAGCATGTATGATATTTTCATTAGAACATAGTCGATATGATTTGCTAGTTTTTTCACATTGAATAAACTAACTCGGAAATTCTATATAACTTGATCATTTATAAAATTTAGAATTATTATATGTGAACCAGTATAATGTAAACGTCCAAACTACAGAAGTCTTCATGTTAAACTCAATCAGTTTGCATCCAACGTGACTTCGAGTAAAGGATTTCTATGAACAAACGTTTAACTGTGCGAAATTTAGATCCAACTCAGAAAATTGGGTGATTAGAAAGTTTAAAGTTATTTATAGAATAAAACAACAATAAGCATACAGCACCGGTAGAGTTGTATTCCAATTAATCCACTCGCATGTTTTTAGTACTTGGCACATTATTGTCAGACGAGTACGGTGAATCATACATCGAAATATCCTTCCCTAACAGGCCGGCATAAATAGTAGACTTCTAATTTAGCATATACCTAAGATGAATACACAGCAATCTAAATTAGTTAAATCACATGATTTTAACAGTATCTCCGTAGTGATTCCTGGAGTCTTATGTATGGTAAAAAAAAATACACTCCTCAGTATATAGTAATCGCTATTACTTGTAAGGCTTATAAACCAAACTTCACATGTGACGTACAACTCAACAGAACACTATAATTTGGTATAAATATATAACCATTGAATAACAGAAACTCCATTTAATTGATTTTATTCTTGTATCAATCTGCGCTTTGAACAAAAAGATGTTTTAGTCATAACATATGATAGATGAATGTTTAATTTACCTTGATAAAGATCAATTCAAATCGTACCTACCTATACATCCACAAGAAATTGATGAAGATGATGATGCTTTAATACCAGAATTGCCTTCAACATGAATGTTGGATAGTTCATCAGTTTCATATTCACCACAAAACATTCTTACTAGATAATTAAACATGAAACTATTTAAACCATCCCATAATACTGGCTTAAATGACTAGGATCGCTGGTTTTCTTTAATTGAATATATTCGTCTAACTTGTAGATAAGTAACAAACAATATACACATGCAAACACATCTTTATTTCTTTGCATTAATTGTTTATTCAATATATGAAGTTGCACATTGAATCGTGTGCACACCTACATATGAACACACAAAATAATTTAAACCAATGAAAATATGATTATTGATGCAATTAAATTAAATGCTGAGTCACCAATTTAATTATATTTAAAACTGTTTGCTCTCGTTTGATGATATTCACTTTTAACAATTGTGTACATGTGTACTCATATTTTATAGATTCGTTAGTTTAACAAAAAAGCAAGGGGTATTCTGTGTGTTAGTTAGTAGTAATAATAACAATTATTATTTTTTTGTTGAAAAAAATCGTGATGATCAACTTACGGACAGAATAATCAAATGGACACATTGATAACACATTTTGTCAAATATCTAGATCATTGAACAGTATAGGCAAACAGGTCTTGTTTTTTGTTTCCATACATTTAAACAAGTTCAAACTGATTTGTAAACAGAGTAATGATATTTAAATGGGGGAAAAAAGTGATACGTCTTTTTTTTCGTCGAAAATTCACTTATTCCTAATGTGTTTGATAATCCCAGTTATCCAGTTAATTAAAGCTTAAATATCATATTAAAAATTAGTTGACTAGATTGAAATATCGTTTAAAGATCCCCGTCATATTAAAAGACTAATATTTGAACGAAGAATATTCTTTTCGATAAATTCTCTTCAGGTTCTACAATTATATATCCAAATTATTAATCCGAAAAATGGCCAAGTTAAGGGTAAAGTACATCGTTTGGAGCATGTGGATTTAGGATTGTGATAAACAAAATACAATAAAATTGTCAATGTTAATATGACTCATATAGAATGTTAACTTGAATCTGCGCATATGTTAAGTGAAATTTTAAGATCCACGGTCAGAATAAATATGAGTCAAATACGGTGAGATAGAAATAATAGTGCAATTACAATTCGATCAAATAAGTAAGACGTATTACGGAGGGATAAATGCGAGGTGAATGAATCATGTATAGAGGTGACTAATGATGTTTAACCGATAATACGAATAATAATGATAATAATACAGAGATTTATGAGTAGATTGAAGCTAGACCACCATGGTTGAGCGCCTGGTACGAAACTGATAGGTCCTGGGTTCGAATCCCACGAGGCGGGGTCGTGCATACGCACTGCTGAGGAGTCCCACAATAGGACGAAACGGACGTCCAGTACTTCCAGGTTTTCCATGGTGGTCTAGCTTCAATTGACTCATCTCAACTGTTGAAATTACTACAATCTCCACGAAACCCCTTCTGATACTAAAGATTTATGAATAAAGATAACAGAGACAATTACAATTGACTACGAAAGGTCATAGTCAAATTAGATCATTCAATAGTTAAGATTACGATTGATTAGTTGGCCTTGATGTTGGCCAGGGGAGGAGGAGTGACTGAATATATTTCTTCTGTACGCATAGCTCCGGTTTCTTCATCCGGATGATTAGTGCTTCAGCCGTTTGAAGGACTTTTAGTCTGACCAGTTTTGGCGAAAAAATATTGACTTTATAAATAATTGAAAAAGATTGGTTTATACTGGCACTATGACCGGTTTGTATAAAATGGGCCAATATTGAGTTGTTCACTTTGTTCATCAAACCTTTGTTTAGCCACGCTGGAAGGTATTCACAAGCACGAAAATGTAAATTTCTAGAACTTCGACCAATATAACTCGCTCCACAGGAGCAGTCGAACTGATAAATACAAAATGAGGTAGTCATTCTAGGTAATTCATCTTTTAGCCTCAGTGTAACTTTTGGGCGCGTAGAAAATACTAATCGCAGTTCGGCGTAATCTCTGAGTTAGTATTTCACTAGCCGCATCCCCTCTGAAATATCATTATACTTCATCATAACAGAATAAAGAAGGAATGAATCGAGAGAAGAAATTTCTTGTCAATTAGTTTTTCATTATGGCTCTACACTAGTATATATAAATATGATTTACAATAATGAAATAATACTCATCGAGTGGATACGTTTCGTAATAGTTATATAATGACATGTCGATTATAAATTAGCATAGAGTAATTGAAAGAAAGAGGATTAATAATAAAGTAATTATTCGAAAATCAAGCAGTTGCTACGTTACATAATATATAAAAGAGAGAAGGAACAAACAAAATATTTTGATGAATGATCAGCAGTATAGTAGTTATGTAAGAATCAAGAGACGAATGTTGCGAATAAGTAAAATACAAAAAATGGAAAGGATACGAAAATAGTTTATGAAAGTCCTGCTACAAACTCTTCTTTACCGATGACCAAGGTAACGAGAGTAGTTGTACAATTTTCTTTTGGACGTAAACGTTAGGTTTTTGAACATGGATTGCAATAGCTTCAGCAATGTGAAAAAGACGCACTCGTAAACCATGTGTCAAATTTAATAGAATATGGTGGATAACCTTAAAAGCTTTATTCAGTTCAACTTGATGACCTGTGTCCACCAAGTGAATGAGAATAAAACTCTTAATCACTGTTTTCTTTCCTTTGCACAACCACTATGGATGGTATTCTGTTACACGATGACGAACTTGCCGAATTGTACGCTCTATATAACTGGCTCCAGAGGAGCAGTTGAATCAATAAATACACATGGATGTAGCGAATTCAAGCAATTTGTCTATATTAGATGTCTTTATAGATGTAACTAAATGGGTCTTTTTAACAATTTTTCTAATAACTCTATATAGTATTACACAAATCGTGTTTCAGAAATACTTAAATATTTATTTTATTGCTTTTTTTGGTTGATGGTAATTATAAAGAAAATAATATTAGTTTACATAACAAAGCATTGATTTTGGAAATGATTATAGTCTGATTAGCTCATAACAGTCATTCACTGATTAGATGGCATGTATATTTTCAATTTATCAAAAAATCTTTTAATTATGCAAAGTATACCATACATTGACAAATTAAAATTCACAAGTAACAAAGAATTTTTTCCCGAAAATAATGTGAAGTTTAAATGTGAAAAACGATTGTACTATGATACTAAGACTACGAACCGATATAAGTTAGACAACCATTTAAACTTGGAAGCATTGAACAGTCGTTTCAGCATAGTACTAAACTCTTCGATCGTGTGCAGACATCCTTCCGCTGTTGGGACTCAGAATTCTACGACAACTGAGCGTGGATCTAATAGTGCAGAAGCCTAATAATCCCCTAAACCCTATTCAGGTTATCAATGATTATTTTACTTAGATTCATAATCTCAATAAAACTCAATAAACTTCACAATCCCATACAGGTGATTTCATTATAGTTGATTGAAATTACTATTCTTGAATTAGGATAAATAATTAAAAGCATTAAGTAAGAATAGTTTTATTATTGAGGTAAGGAAATATTTGAAAATTAGCTTGTTTATTGAGATGAAAAACAGAAAACAATTCCACGAGCTTTTCAAATGACACTTCCATGAAAAATGATTGATAATAATTTTCACGTCTTTGTGTATAATTCATAAAATTAAAATGGAATTTTGTATCATAGTTTCTATAAACTATTTTAAACAAAGTTTCCGTAATGTTTTAACAGTTCTGCTTCATATCATCATAGAGTCTATCAAAGACAGTGAATAAAATGCGAAGAAAACCCGGCACAAATGTTACATTCTAGCTAATTTCTTATACATTGTTTTTATGATTAAACTTTAAAGACCATTCATTATATTAGGTAATTATTCTTCACTTTTTAAATCTATTTTGTATTTTACACTGGTTCATATAATGCTTACTAGTAAATTGTTTTCATAACAATTAGTTCTCAATAAGTCATTTTGAAGAAAAAGAAAAGTATTTATCAAATACAATGATATTTATTGGATATTGATGCAATTTCTCTCTTCCTATTAAATAGCTTGATTTACAGGTCATTGAATTTATTGGCCTGTAGAAATAATTACCGCCTACATGACAATAAGGTTGGACTTTATCAGAAAGATTTAGTAGACAATTATCAATTATTAGATGTATGAAAGAAATAGGACTAATGGATAACAGAATCAATTAACTGATTAAATAATTAATTTGGCACAAAATACCAAATACCGAAAAACATAGCACAAAACCCTTAATAGAAAATGAATTGAAGATAATATAACTCCAATCTAATTAATCAATAACATACTAATTGAGACATGTATACGTGTCAGTGGATGCTTTAAATATTACCTTCAACGATATTCATTTATCATTCTTATTAAATTCATGTCTAATTTCTGTTATTTACGCACAGTAAATTTTGATATGAAACCTAAAGAATTAATCTTAATTCATGAGTGTATTTGATGTTTAAATGTTAATTATACATGTATTGAATGATTTAACATTAAATTCTAATATATACATTCCATTTCATTTATGACAAGTTAGTTAGTAATTTATGTGTATTTCAGTCCTACCGGTTTCATTGTAACTTCAACCCGATAGACATCACTAGAATGTCCATTAAAAACATGTTAAATTATATTTGCTTATTACCACATACAATTCAGTATAGTTTTTGAAACATTATTCATATTTCTGTATAGATAACAAATTTTCTCGCAAATTCATTTGGAGCTTTTTCAATAAAATAGTATAATAAATTAATCAATTTCTCCTTGAATCATCAATCACTATGAGAACAAATGCAATATTCACAGAAAATATCTTTCGAAAATAAGTTACAATACATGATCTGTACTTCTTTCATTATTGTGTAAGGTTGTTTGATTATAATATTTTATGGGTAAATAAATGTTTGTTCGGATAAACTTTTATTCTGACGTAAAAACAACTAATCACATGATTCAGAAAAGCTTAATATACATAATACTACCTAGATAGTTTGTATACCTATGTTATTAGTTGAATTCATGAGTCTATCTAAGCCACTGAAGACCTGGAGGCACTGGAAGGCCGTTTCGTCTTAGTATAGGACTCTTCAGAAGTGCGCAGTCACGATCCCGCACGCAGGACTCGAACCCAGGATCTTCAGT